TAAGATTTTATTTATTTATTTGAGAGAGAGAGAATGAGAGACAGAGAGCATGAGAGGGAGGAAGGTCAGAGGGAGAAGCAGACTCCCTGCTGAGCAGAGAGCCCCACGCGGGACTCGATCCCGGGACTCCAGGATTATGACCTGAGCCGAAGGCAGTCGCCTAACCAACTGAGCCACCCAGGCGCCCAATAGTACCATTTTTATAGGCTTGTTATGAATATTAATTTAATTAATACACAAGGGTTTATTATCATCACATCACTTTGGCTATCTCTGCCTTTGTCTTATTTTTTTTAAGATTTCATTTATTGGAGCGCCTGGGTGGCTCAGTCGTTAAGCGTCTGCCTTCGGCTCAGGTCATGATCCCAGGGTCCTGGGATCGAGTCCTGGATCGGGCTCCCCGCTCCTCGGGAAGCCTGCTTCTCCCTCTCCCACTCCCCCTGCTTGTGTTCCCTCTTTCGCTGTGTCTGTCACATAAATAAATAAAATCTTTAAAAAATTTTTTATTTATTTGACAGAGAAAGAGTTAGCGAGAGCAGGAACACAAGCAGGGGGAGTGGGAGAGGGAGAAGCAGGCTTCCCGTGGAGCAGGGAGCCCAATCCAGGACTCGATCCCAGGACTCGATCCCAGGACTCGATCCCAGGACTCTGGGATCATGACCTGGGCCGAAGGCAGACGCTTAACGACTGAGCCACCCAGGCGCCCCTGCCTTTGTCTTACTTTTGTCTTTCTCTTTTATTCTCTGTGCCTCTGACCCTCTCCTTTGTTTCCCCCACAGTGGCTACAGGCTTTGTCCTCCGCCAGTGTGGCAGTGATGGCCAATGGGGATCTTGGAGAGATCATTCGCAGTGTGAGAACCCAGAAAAGAATGGGGTCTTTCAGGTAAGAAGCAGTGAGGGATTCAGGTCAGGATGTGCAGGGAGAGATGAAAAGGCAGCCGCCTCAGGCTGAGCCTGAAACCCCTTGTACTATTCAAGACTCTAGGTTCCAAGTGATAAAACCCAACTTAAACTTGTTGGGTGGAGGAAAAAAGAGAAATGTATTGACTTCTGTGATTGAAAAGTGTAAGGTAACAGCTTCAGGCACAGCTGGATCTAGGTGCTCAAATGATGTTGTTGGGAGTCTTTTTGTCTCTCACCACACCATGACTTTGTTTTTCTCTGTGCTGGGCTCATCTTTTCTGTGGGATGGAAAGTGTGGTCCTCATTAATTAGCACCAGGCTCACATCCTACCAACCAAGCAAGACTGTGGGGAGACTGAACTGTGTTCTTAATAGCTCTAATGTAATGTCCCAGGACTGATACCTTGGGCCATGCCTCCACCCTGCACTAATCACTGTGTATGTGTGTGTCTCTGTGTGAGTAGGGGGTTATATAGAATGCTCTGATTGGCTGGTCACATGCTTGGCCCTGGACTGAGGGGTGGAATCAGCCAGTCAGCCCCAGTCAAGCAAGGGTAGTTGGATCCCCAAGAGAAAACTGGGATGCTGGGCAGGAACAAAAAGCAGGGTCCCTTTCTGGTCCTGGGCGGGGGGGAAAGCATTGAACTGTGTTCCTGTGTCCTCCTACCCTCCTGCACCCCCCTACCCCGACCTAGGATCAAAAGCTGATTTTGGAGCGGATGCAGGTCATGTACACCGTGGGCTACTCCCTGTCCCTGGCCACACTGCTGCTAGCCCTGCTCATCTTAAGTTTCTTCAGGTGAGACCTCCAGCCTTGAGTCACAGCTGCAGAGCCTGGGCCTCAGTTTGCCCAGTAAGATGGGGTGGTCAGGCTTCACTAGTGACAAGCATCTAATGGTGGTTCTGTGGGAAGGGCGGGGAGGTGACTTAAGGGGATCTGTGTGGCCAAGGACAGGTAGGTATCCACGGGTCCCCAGACTGCATCCCCAATCCCCTAGGACGCTGCGCTGCACTCGCAACTACATCCACATCAACCTGTTCACATCTTCCATGCTGCGGGCAGCGGCCATCCTCACCCGAGACCGTTTGCTACCTCCACCTGGCCCCTACCCTGGGGACCAGGCCCCTGTCCTGTGGAACCTGGTGAGTAGCATCCTTCTCTTTCTCAAATTGGGATTCTGCCTCCTCTGGTGGGGCCAAGAAGTTCCCAGTCCATTTACTACTTTCTACACTATCAACAGTTTATCTCTCTTGACCTCTCCAAACACATTTGGAGAGGGGCCCTCCCAACTCAGCCTCCTCCATCACCCACCCCATCACCTCCTATGTGAGATTTTCCCCTTGCTTAGCTCTCATTATCTCACCCGTCCCTGGACTTCTCCACCAATGAGAGAGTCCCCTACTGGAGGTGGGGCGTGGCAGGATGGGAGGGGATTTGGTAGATACCAATTTGTTGTTACTGCCAAACTAAGGTGGGGGAGGCTAGAGGCTGGGGGCCCAGGTGAGAAAAACTTTCAGGTAGCCAGTTGGGCCATGTCGATTGTGAAGAAGCTATGGGGTGGGGGAGTCCCTGTGCTGGCTGGACAAGGGTGACGGGGTGGGAGAAACTTTTTGACAGGTGAAGTAGTTGAGTTCAATTTTTAGAAGGCGATGGGGTGGGAGAGGCCATATTTGGGGGCCATGGGGTGGGGGAAACTGATAGCAAGATGGAAGATACCAATTGTTAAAGAGGTAAAAGCGGGACAGCTCACAGGGGGAAGAGAACAGAAGAGAGAAATCAATCACAGACACCATCCTCTAGTGATGCAGAGCGGGAAGTGAATAGTGGACGGCAGGAAATGGAGGTGGAAGGACGGCTTGGGGACACCCTGAAGGCCCTGACTGCCCCCTCCCCCTGTCCGGCCACCCCCTAGGACCTAGCTGCCTGCCGCACGGCCCAGATCGTGACCCAGTACTGCGTGGGTGCCAACTACACTTGGCTGCTGGTGGAGGGTGTCTACCTACACAGTCTCTTGGTGCTTGTGGGAGGTTCCGAGGGGGGCCACTTCCGCTGCTACCTGCTTCTCGGCTGGGGTGAGCCCCGACCCTGTCCCCTGCCCAATCCGGCGCGCCTCCACTCCCTCGACTCCCCAGCTGGTCTATCTCAGGGGGTCTCCTCCCCTCTCTGGGCTTCTGCCTCCCCACCCCGGCGGCGGGGGAAATTCCACGGGTCTTGGGCCTGGCGGGGCCCGTGCGCGTGCTGACAGCTGCGGCGGGGTGGGGGGCGGGGTCGGGGTCTGCACAGGGGCCCCCGCGTTTTTCGTCATTCCCTGGGTGATCGTCAGGTACCTGTACGAGAACACGCAGTGAGTCTTGGGGTCTGGGGTGGGGCCTGGGAGGCGGGCGGAGCTTTGAGGGACTCGGGCGGGTTGTGATGGAAAGGTGGGGAGGTTCGGAGGGTACATAGGGACTGGGAAGGGGTGGGTGGGATCTAAAGGAATGGGGAGCTAAGAAAGAGTGTGCTCTGGAAGGGGGCGAGATGGGGGCGGGGCCTGGATAGTAGCGGGGCGGGGCTTTAAAGGAACGTGAGTGTGGCATTAAGGAGAGTGGGCGGAGCTGGCGAGAGAGGGTGCGTGATCCTCTGAATCCAGGGGTTTTTCTCTTAGCTCTACTCCCCCTCTCCCCAGGTGCTGGGAGCGGAATGATGTCAAGGCCATTTGGTGGATCATACGCACCCCTATCCTCATGACCATCTTGGTACGGCCAACCCTGAGTCCTCCAGGCCACCCTCTGGAATTTCCCACCCTGGGAAACGGGGCGCCACCCTCTGTCCCCCAGGACAGGATGGGGCTGGCTCAGCCTCTATCTCTCCCTGCAGATTAATTTTCTCATCTTTATTCGCATTCTTGGCATCCTTGTGTCCAAGCTGAGGACGCGACAGCTGCGCTGCCCGGACTACCGCCTGAGGTGAGGGAGCCGGACCGGGATGGAGGGAAAGGGGCAGGGTGCAAAATGGAGGACCTGGGGCTGCGGGACCACTGCCACCCTCTACCCTCAGGCTGGCTCGCTCCACGCTGACGCTGGTGCCCCTGCTGGGCGTCCACGAGGTGGTGTTTGCTCCGGTAACAGAGGAACAGGCCCGGGGTGCCCTGCGCTTCATCAAGCTCGGCTTTGAGATCTTCCTCAGCTCGTTCCAGGTACTAAGGCACTAAGGCGGGGTGCAAGGGCTACACCCTTCGTCCTGGGGCCCTCTTCCCCAGAGGGGCAGGGGGTCTGCAATTGTCCACTGATGCGGGCACTGAATGGGGTGTGAACATGTTCACATGTTCATTCGTACATTTCTGCGCAAAACACTGAGCTAGCTCTGTCCTGAGCTGGGGAGGCAGCAGGGAGCAAGGGAACAGACCAGGCAGCCTCAGCAGACTGCCACCTAGTGAAGATGGAGGGCTTTGCAGCCCGGGTAGGGCTAGGGCCAAGTTCAGGTTCTGCCACTTCGCAGCTCTGTGGCCTTCACCTAGGGTGAGGTAAATGAGGTGCTTACAGTGCAAAATGTAAGGAGGCACTCCAAAATTTAAGGCCAACCCTGCACTTGCCTGCCAGACCCTAGTTGCCATACTGCTTTTTCTTGTCGGGCCTCAGTTTCCTCATCTCTAAGTTGGAACAATACTAATCTCACCTCACAAGGCTGTTCATTCACTAAATTCAGCAGAAATGTACTGAGCTCTTACTGTGTACCAAGCACTATTCTGGGCCAAGAACCAAATGGTCCCTACCCTCTAGTGGGAGAGACAGATGCTAAACATGCTATGTAAATAAAATGAACAGAGTGTCAGATGGAGAGATGTGCCTAGAAGCTGGGGGGTGGGGGAAAGAGAGCAGACAAGATATAGAGCTGTAGACAGGGGGTAAAGGCCTCACTGAGAAGACACTGGAGCAGAGACCCGGAGGTGAGGGAACAAGCCAGGCAGATATTTGGGGGAAATGTTCCAGGAAGAGAAATATCAAGTGCAAAATCCCTGATATCCAACATGCTTTGGGCGGTGGGAGCCAGAGGGAGCAAGGGGGAGATTGGACAGAGAGGTGAGGTACCCGGGCAGATCCTTGGGCCAAGTAAGTACCTTGGCTTTTCCCTGAGGGAGCTGGGAGCCACGGGAGCAGAGGGATGTGATCAGAGTTAGATTTTTTTTTAAAGATTTAATTTATTTACTTGACAGAGAGAGACACAGCGAGAGAGGGAACACAAGCAGGGGGAGTGGGAGAGGGAGAAGCAG